GTTATCTTTCCAGTAGTAGAATTGTTAGGTCAAATGGAGTTTCATTTTGAGAAAGTGTCAGGCTGCTTTCCAATGGTGGCTATACCATCTTACCCTACCACCAGCAGCAAATAAGAGTTCCTATCTCTCCACAATATCACTGGCATTTGTTGTTTGCTGGCATGTTGAACTTTGCTGTTGTTGCTGGGGTGAAATGATACCTGATGGTTGTTTTGATTTGCATCTCTCTGATAGCTAGGGATTTGGAACATTTCTTCATGTGTTTGTTTGCCATCTGAATGTCTTCTTCGGTGAAATGTATATTCATATCCTGTGCCAACTTCGTGGTTGGTTTGTTTACCTTTTTCTTGTTGAGGTGCTGGAGTATTCTATAAATTTTGGAAATAAGCCCCTTATCAGTATGTGATTGCTAAATATTTTTCCCCAGTCTGTTGGTTTCCTTCTTACCTTGTTGGAGAAGTTTTTTGATGAGCATAGGAATTCGATTCTTAGAAGGTCCTATTCATCTGTTTTATTCTGTCCCAGTTGTAGGTTTTTCATCATGCTTGAAAGACTGTTCATACTGTGGAAAGAGAAAGTATCAGTTAAGTGAATAAATGACAGTCTCCTTAACAAATGGTGTTGGCAAAATTGGAAAATCGTCTGCAGAAAACTTAAGCAAACATCTCACACCATACACAAAACCCAACTCAAGGTAGATCAGGGGCCTAGAAGTAAAACTAGACCTAGAAGTATAAATGAAGTTCATCAGATAAAATCCAGGAAGAACTCTAGAAACTGTAATCTAAAGCATGTGTTTTGGCCTCACATAGTCCCTCCCCACCGCCCACCCAGGGCATAGTCCGCACAGAGTCTCCCACTACCTGCAGTTGAGTTTCCCTCATTTGGGGAAATCACAGAGGTCAGCACATCCAAAGTTCTATGATGAGCCTTGCCCTGGGAAAACCACCTTCATGGCAATGGTATTTCCTCTGCCAGGTAAGGCCTCACATACATTATGATGTCCTCCAGGTCTTCACCAAATAAAGTTCAACGCACACTCTCTCTCATATGTTGTCACATAATTATTCCCATTCCCACTCACCAAGGCAGTAATGACTCATGGCAACTCTCCATCAGTTTCAAAGTTTGATACATCTTTACAGGAGGAGAGTATCCATTTTTTCCCCCAAGGATTGGCTGGTAGATTCAAATTTTCAACCTTTCAGTTAGGAACCCAATGCATAAAGCACTATCACCAGAGTTCCTTTCACATAATTATAAATTCTATTAATGTGATTCAGGAAAATATATCCACATTAGTGAAATTACATTCTAATATAATACGGAATGTCTGCAACATAAACTTCTACGCAGTTTTATAATCTAAATGTTTTAATGTTTCCTTTGAATTGTGGCATTGGCAGAAGATACTGAATATACCGTGGTCTGCCAAAAGGACAAACAAATCTGTTTTAGAAGTATTGTAGCCAGAGTGGTTCTTTGATGCAAAGATAGTGAGCTTTCATCTCACATACTTTAAGGGCAGCCAGAGTGCTTCTTGGTGACTAAGATGACTAAGCTCTCTCATATTTTGGACATGTTACTAGGAGAAGCTATGCCTTGAAAAGGAATGCCATAGTCAGAAAGATGGAGGGTCAGTGAAACAGAGGAAGAGTCTCCAATGAGATGGATTAAACCGGTGACTGCTACAAGGGGCTCAATGGTGTCAGAGATGATGAGAAGGGCACAAGATGAGACACGGTTTGGTTCAGGCCTGTTATTCAAAGGGTCACTATGAGTTGTACTCGACTTGATGTCACCTAACCACAACCATAATAGTATTATGTTATGTTCCCCTACATAGTATCCATGAAATAAGTACAAGGCCCCACTTTTGGGTTAGCAGCACAAATTTCTATGGACAACACCACAAGTGGCCCTTAGGTAGCACAAACACTTTACACTTGGCTGCTAATTAACAGGTTGGCAGTTCAAATCAACCCAGCAGTACCCTGGCAATTTGCTTCTGTACAGCCAAGAAAACACTATAGGGCTTTCCATTCATTGTGTGAGGTCACTGAGGGTCAGAATTAACTTGGCAACAACTTTAGCATTAATTGTATTCATCCTGAGGTTATCTTGGAGATAGGGGTGGTGAAGCTATGAGTGTTAAGTTGGGGGGTGAAGGGCAGGGACCTTTCCAGAAGCCTGTAGAGCTCCTGGATCCTCTCCTTGACTCCTGACCGTTGAGAAGTAGTAACCAAGGGAGTGTATTATGTGCCATCAAGTAGTCTACCATCCATAGTGACCACAGGGTGGTCACTATGGACCATAGGAAAAACGGATCTGAATTCTGCTCTATCCTATACCATCCTCATCATCTCTAATATACTTGAGCCCATTGTTACATTCACTGTCAAGCCATCTTTTTGAGAGTCATCCTCTCTTAAACTGACCTTCCATCTTTCCAAGCATGATGTCTTTTTCCAAAGATTTCATCCAGAAAGGTATATAGAATTGAGAGATATTTTAATTTTCACTAAAACGTCTATTTCTTGAGTTGCTCCAGACTCTTCTTCGGCATGTGGAGTGATGAGTGCTCAGTGGCAAACTGTCTCCATGGCCATTTGTCAGTTCTTCCTTCAGGGCTGGTGTGGTTTTGGAGATCGCAGCTGGAATGAACATACCTATGCCAGGAGTGCAGGCGCGGAATCGAAGCAAGCTCGGCAGCAGAAGTGTGTGGAATGACAGACACCAGAGGTACTCTTGTGAGATCCAGTTTCTCCAATTCTACACCATTAGGGGGCAGCAGAGATCAAGTGAAGCCATCGGTCATTTAGCAGCAGTGGAGAATTGGGATTGTCTCAGAGTTCTCTTTATTTTATGAGAAAATTAAAAAAAAACCAAAACCAACAAGTTTTATGAGCAGAAAGATGAAAAGAAACTTCTAGAAGGACCTGTAAAAGATATGGAGGTTTGGGGATCATCATTGGGACGGTAGATTTTTTTTCTGTTTATTTTCCAGTGAAAAACAGACCTAATATGTCAGGCATATGTTGTTGTTTTGTCGTAGAGTCCAAACTGACACATAGCTGAATCTCTGGTGGGTTTTCAAAGGCAGATAATCACAAGGGAGGAGATTGCCCATCCTTCCTCCTGCAGAGCGGCTGGGGACCTCGAACTGTGGGCACAGCTTTTTGCCACTAGACCATCAGAGTATATCACTATGAAATTCCCCACAAAAATTAATATATTTTTCTTAACAAACTAAGGGAAAATATTTAGAAGAATTCAGGAAAACAACACAAGAACAAAATTAAAAATTCATTAAAGAGGTAGAAACTTTACATAAAAAACAGAGATTCCTGATCTTTGAGATAAAATAGCAGAAATAAAGGGCACCATGGAAGAACATGAAAGTAGACTTGAAACAATGAAAGAGTCTGTGAAATAAAATACAAAGCTGAGGTTAAATATTTTGAAGAACATATGGAAAGAACAAAGAAAACTGAATAGGACATAACTGTTTTGTGGGACAGCATGAAGAGAAACAATACACAAATAATGGGAATTCTAGAAGGAATGAGAGAAAGTCCAGAAAAAAATTTTTAAGAAATAGTGGCAGAAAACTTTCCACATATCATGAAAGACAAGACTTTAATGAAAGCTCAACAAACTCCTTTTAGTTTCAGTTCAAAGAGAAAAACACCAAGATATACTTAA